ACGGAAGGAGACTCACAAACCCTCCCACCCGCTCACAAGACCCTGTTCGCTCTGCTCCCAGTTGGCTGGTCCTGCACTAAATACGCCAACAATATGGCCCTTGCCCCCAAATCATCTGCCTCTTCACATTCTTCCCCTGGAAGAGGGGCTGGAAGAGGGCATATGAGCCTAATAAAAGGGCCTCAGGATAATACAGAGACCACATCTTGGTTCCTCTCCACAGGAACCCCTGTCATAGCCCCTGCCTTCACTAATTTTACCATGTGCCATCCGTGGGTGAAGCTGGGACTAAAATACTGACCAAAACCCAGTCCCTGCCTTCTAAGAGCTCAGCATCTACAGACATTTCTCCCCTTTGTCTCAGGGCTGTGGGGAGGCTGCCCAGAATATTTTTCCCTACTTCTTCACATATCCACATTTTCCACATACTTCAGGGCCCACCTCAAATGCTATCTGCCTGTTGACACTTTCATTATACAGCCACTCAGCAGTGGTGTCCCCTGTCTCTGAACGCTCACCTTTACCTGTATGAATGAGCCCAGTTACCTGTACCTCTCTCCAGACACATCACTTTCTACTTATGTGTTCTGTACGCATAGTTGATCTTCTCTACTAGACTCTCCGTTTCCTGAGGACAAAGATCATCTTATACATCTTTGTATCTTCCAGAGCACCCCACACAGTACTATGTACATAACAGGTGCTCAAAAAATACTCATGGAATAAGGCTCCCACATAAAGATGTCTGGTGGATGAGCAAAGGCTTATTTGTCAAGCTACTGGAAGTTCTCAGACTTAAAAAAATACAGTTTTATCACTAATTTAAAACTCCTTGTTAGGATTTTTCACAATTAACATAAAGAACTCAAGGTAAGTAGCATAGGATTCTTGGGCATTCCTTTTAACTGTGTGTATATCCAATCTTATGTAAATGTTCTATTATATAAATATTATAATTCAATATTCAGCTGTTTCTGCACCGTAATATGGAAGTGCTCACGTCCTCTATGTATCTCCCACAAAGGAAGGCATCTTCTGCACTATGTGGTGTTGGCACTCTCCCTAGACGCTGTATGGTACTGATATGACCCAGAGTACAGCTGAAGGGAAGAGATACACTGGCCATGAGTGTCCAGCCTTGGGTAAGAAGGCTGAGGCTTCCCATCAGAATCAGCCTATAAAACCATCCTGCCTAGGAGAACAGATTTGCCCATCAATAGAGGAAGTGACTCCAAAAATTAGCAAAAGGTCTCATGGGGCTAAGGAATGTTTTTGAAAAAGTACCAGAATTGATGGCTGGGACTGAGACAGCACTTATTATGTGCAGGCTAAAAACTTACTCTCATTTAACCTTCAAAAACCTGAAATGGTTCTATCATTACCTCCAGTTTTGCAAATGAGAAAACAGCCTCAAGAGATGTAATAACTTTGCTCAAAGTCACATACCCAAGTGTCTCTGACTCTAGATCCTGACCTGAGATTCCTGCTCAAACCATCCAGTTCCCCTTTTTCCTTCTTGCACTTGGTGTGCAATGAGGGGCAATGATCCCATATCCGCTAGAAGAGACCTTAGGGAACACGTGTTTCAGCCTCTTTACAGAGAGGGAAACTTCGGCTCAGAGAGATAAAGGGCCTTGGGTCACACAGAGCCAGGGTCTGCTCTGCGACGGAATCGCAAAGTGCACTAGAGTTCCGATCCAAGCTCCATTTTAGAGGGGGAAGTGAAGCAGAGGGATGAGCCCGGGGTCTCTTGTAGTCTTCAGAGGCAGAGCCGGATCCAACCCCAGGCGCGCTCATTATCCTGCCCCGCGCTACCTGAATGTTCACCTGGGACGCCAACCAACCCCGCGGGCTGCCGCGCCCAGCCCGCGCCCCGCGAGTACCTGTCGGCGGTGCGCAGGCCCTTGGCCGGGGGTGACAAGGTGCTGGCGTGGAACGAGCAGAGTCGCGCAGGCCAGAGTCGGACACGGCCTCTCGAGTCCGAGCCTCCCCGGGCCCCTTCGCCTCAGAACGCCAAGGCCCCGGGAGCGCGCGGACGCCCGGACGCTGCTGGGAACTTGGGAGCGCTGATGCCGGGAGGCAAAGTCGGCTGGCCTCCTTCCCTCAGGTTCCTACTTTACCCCGCTCAGACCCTGTCCTAGCGCCAGGGCACCTGAGGAATAGCAACAGCTTGGCGCCCTAACTGCCGGGACTCAGGAGGGCAAGGTTCCCATGGAAACGAAAAAGAGGCTTTTCGCGCCTGCGCGGATGCGCTAGGCACGCTGGGAAGTGTGGTTTCCGGGAAGTCGCCCGGCGGCCAGAGGAACGGACGCAAGATGGCGCCCCAGTGTCGCGGCCGGTTTTGAGCTGCCAGGTTTCCCCCAACATCCCTTCCTGGGGCCCTTTCTGGGCGCTGCCGGGTGAGAAAGACTGCGGACGCCTGAAAGATAGTTTCTCTTGGCAGCCGCGGTTCTGAGGCGTCTGGGGTGCTGGGTGAAGAGGCGGGGTCGCGGTCTCCTGGGCGCGGGTTCAGCTTTGCCGTTTCAAAACTTGTCCTGACGAGGGTACGCTCTGGCTCGTGACTCGTCCCAGCCCCGGCTGAGCCGGGCGGCACGGAGGGAGAATGTTGTGGAGATGGGAGCTGGCCCAGAAGGGATGGGCTGCCCAAGGGACGCTAGCTCATTGTCGCACTGGTGTTCCAGTCGGGGCTAGGCGAGCGCTCCGGCTCTTGGGAGGCTCCTGTATCAGGTGGAGTTGAACTGCGAGTCCGTGAGCAGGGGTCCTCCTGACCATACCTCCGGCTTCCCTGCCCACGGCGCGTCTTGAGCAGAATTGTGAACTCGGTACATTGATGGCCCTGGAACCACCCTTTCCATTCCCGAATTAGGCCTTCGGACTGAGATCTAGAAATCTAAGATCTAATTCAGGCTTTATCGGAGGCCTAGTTACTTCCTTGGGCTTCGGTTTCCCTATTTCTAAAACAGTTGTAATTGTAAAGTCTCCCCTTTTTACTCTGAGAGTGTTGCAAGTTTCATAGGAGATGATCGATATGCAGGCTGGACAGTCCTTTAAGAACCTAAGCAGGCATTCCTATTCGCTGTAAATTAGTGCCACTTCTTGGAAGGAAACTAGGCAATGCCTTTTAGAATTTAAAATGCACATCGCTTTTGCTTTAGCAATTCTAGAAGTACGTCCTACAGATTTAGTGGCTGGCTGTGTGTGCACAAGAAAGTATATACAAGGGTATTTAAGCATTATTTGAAATGGGAAAAAAAAACATAAATGTTCATCAGTAGATAACCACTTAAATAATGATTCCATAAAAGAGAATATGTGTGGTTATTTTAAAAATTAGGCAGAGCTTTCTGTACTGATGTGCAACTCTTTGTGATATGAAATTTTTTTCAAAGTGCATAATAGTATGTTAATACGTTATAATTTGTTTTTAAAAATACACAAATACATTTTATGACATAAGCATGGAATGTCTTTGGAGGGACTCAGAAGAAGCTGGTAACAATGGTTGCCTGTGAAGGATTAGAAGACAAGATAGGGGGGAAACACTTTTCATTTTGTATCTTTTTTTTTAAACTACTATATTTTTTGCACCTTTAGCAATTTGTGTGAGTTGCTATACCTATAGTTCTTAATCACTTGCCTGCATTTTTGATGCAAATAATTTCCCCTCCAGTTTTTGTTTCTCCATGTGCTAAATTTCAGTCTTCTGTAGATTCTGCAGTCCCACAGCTCTGAGTTCATGACTGGATCCTGCCTGCCCAGCTGCACAGACTGCAGGAGGGCGGGGTCTGGCCTTGGCTTTCCTCCTGACGTTGTCACCCCTACCTTCCTCCGCCCTGCCTAGGACTACTGAAAGAGCAGTCTGAGTGGGACTCATGGTTGGCTGTAGATGGCAGGCAGCCCCTCCCTGCTGAGCAGGATGGGCAAGCCAAGTGAATGAAGAATCAGATCTAGCTTCTCTGTACCCCACCTTGTGACCCTAGGCCTGCTACACACAGGTCAAATGATTCGTCATCTAGAGAGCATGCTGAGGCTGAATTCTGTCAATGTCCAGATGATGTATATTGTTAAAATATGGGAGGGAAAGCCTAGGGATTTCCTGGTCTAATCCTTTTGTTTTACAGAAACAGTGACTTAAGGTGAAGTAACTTGTAAGCGATAACGCTGAGGCTGGAACTCAAGTCTCCTGCTCCTCCATCCACTAGGGTTAGAGCAGTGCTGGGGGTCCTAGTAGGGTCTGGGTGAGAGATTCACTCCTAAAACTGGACACAGGGTCTCAATCAACAAGAATGTTTGCTGCCAGCTCCTGCTTTTGAGGCCTGCTTTCAGGGAAAGAGTTTCACCCACCCACTCCCCCACCCTCAAACAAACTAGAGTGTTAATAGGGCAGAGAACATGATCTTGGGAAGAGGGGAGAGAGTGACAAAGATGGACTCATTTACCCTTCTTGAACACTGTACCTGAGCAGAAGAAACCCTAGACAGAGGCGGGGGCCCACTGAAGGTCCTTCTTCCCTGGCAATGATAGGCTGGCTTGGAAAATCAGGCTCTTTTGCATTGCAGCAGGAAGGACATTCTTAGGACCCAAAGTGTGCTCAAGAACTAGCATCAGGTGTCCAAAAGGAGCCTTCGCTTCTGGGACAGGCTTGGTCCTGTACAGGTAGGCACTGGCAGCTTCCATTTCCTCATGGGTAACTCCCTTCTGCTGCCCCAGCAGAGCCAAGCACCTGCTGCCTCATGTAGACTTGTTCCCCTGCCAACCTGCCTAAGCGGGGCACGTGCAGCAAGCATTTGCCCAGGCCCCGCCCCAGGAGCTGAGGGAGACAGCACTGGCCTCCCCTCTTCGCTTCCCCATTCTTCCTCCCACCCCACCCCAAACATACCAGTCCCCCAAAGAGGCCTGTCACAAGATACCTGGGAACTATGAGGAGACTGGAAGGGGTAAGAAGAAGCCAAACTCCTTGTGTAACCAGAGGAAAAACTGGACAGGCAGGCTTTATCATTAAATCGAAATAATGTGAAAATGTTTTTTATTTCTAAGTAAAAAGCCAGATATTATTAAGACTATGAAAAACTGGCCAGAGGCCATGAAGCACAAACAGAAGATTCTCTTTGGCGTAGTGCCCTGTGACCCAGTGCAGTGCTGCTGGTGGTGCTGGAGCAGCAGCGAAAGACTCAGCCTGGTTCTGGGGTGTTCAAGGGAGGCCGGACTGCCAGCTCCATCAGAAGGGTCTGGCTTCAGGCTCTTCACAACCTCCTGGGCCTTTGGGGGCCACTGGTTTCTGGCCTGACAGGCCCCAGGAATGAATTGGGGGGGTAGGTGACATGAGGCAGACAGGACTGGGTGAGGGAGGGAGCATGAGCCTTTCTGCCCTGGGAAACTGTTTTTTATTCCGTGGCTGCAAGTGAGTGTTTCAGGCAGCAGCTGAGAATAAAGCTAGGGTACTGTGACCCCAAAGGCACCTTCAGTCTGTCTACCATATCCCCAAATACAGAGAAAATCTTGAACCCTTGGACAGGTGGACGTGGGTCTGAGACTTAAGGCTGAGGGGCTGAGGCTGAAGTGGTGGGAGTTTGGGGCCTTCTGGGGAGGAACTAAGAGGAAGAGGATTGTGGACAGGTTGACAGGATTGAGTGCTCGTCCCAGGAGCTGTGTTCAGGCACCTCTGTTTGTGTCTAGGGGAACATGGGCACGTGTGAGGGCTCAGGCCTCGCCCTCCTCCCCACTGCTATCCACACTGGCCTGCCTCCCCACCTTCTGGAGCCTGGGTTTGGAGGAACAGCCAGCCTCCCCCTGCTCCTGGAAGGCCCTGGTCCGGCTGGCCACCAAGGCGGCGCTGTTGAGGGCAACCACAGACTGGCGGGACTTCAGGGCAGGCCAAGGCCCCCGGCAGGCCTGCTGGCCCCTCTTGGCCATTGAGAGCTGAGGGAAGGGCTGTGGAGGGTCTTCATCTGAAGACTCTTTTGAAGAGAAAACCTGGAAGGGTGAGGATATAAAGAAGAGTCATGGAGAAGTCTTTCCCGGGTGGGTACTTAGAGCACAGAGCCTAGAAAAGGGTAGGTGCTGAAAGTTTGTTGAATGAATACAGGAAAACTGAGCTACTCACAGGTCAGATTTTCCTAGAAAGGAAGACAGCACCCTAGCCCTACTATCCCTGCTCCTCAGCTCTCACCATTTGCAGCTTCCTTCTGGTCCCCAGAAGCCCTCCTTAGCTCCCCTGCACATGCTGTGTCCCTGAGGCCCTCTCCTCCTCCTCTTGCTCGCTCTGGTTTGAACAGTCATTCCTCTGAGCCGCAAGTGAAATATCTGCCAGGCGCCGGGCTCTGAGCTGGGTGCCAAGTGAAGAACACCCATATCCATCCATCCATCCATCCGTTCCTCCCTATCCTTCTACACCTAGTGCCACCTCCTCCAGGAAGCCTCTCCCAAATGTTCCCGCCCTCTGTAAGATGAGCTCTCCTTCCTCTGGGTTAGCCACCTTGGCCTCAAGTCACATTGTGGGGCCTGGCTTCCTAAGGCCAAGGCCAGCTTCTGGTCTTATACTTGTGCCCTACAGCACTCAGCCCAGAGAGGGTGCTCAACTACTCAGCCAGTGCTTTGCTGTGTGAGTGCTATGACCCCTCTGCACTCCATCCTTCGGTGGGTTGCTCCTCAGACTTGGGAGGGGTTGCAGAGATCAT